GGGGTTCCCGAGTGTGTTTATGTCTCCGCTCGGTAATGCAGGAACAAGCTGGTAACTGGACGTGTTCTGTACATGCAGGACATCTTTGTCGCTTCTGAAGGACCCGACATACACAGTACGTATTAGTTTATTCCCTAATTCCTGGACTATTCCCATAAGCTCTCTCGTTAGGAAAAACATATCCGGACAGAATTCGATATTTTTGTTTAGATATTTGGCTTTTATCAGTGGATGGGAGCACCTGGTTGAACAGTCATGTAAATTAAGCTTGTGTTGGAATCGGTTCTTTTGTCTTCGTCATATTCATCTGTGGTCTGTCCTCGCAAGACCGTCAGCGGAATAAATGCTAAGAAAACAACAACATGTATAACACAAGATGTGGAAGAACTGAAGACTTCTAGTATTCACAATATCCCCGAAACATTATCACCGTAACGATTTATCTGTTAAGTCATTTAAGTACTGTGATATTTATCTAGAATACAGGGCGGGCAAGATATACTACAAAAACAAAGTATGGGAACACCCTAAAATTCCACAACACAGGCTGTTGTGTAAAAGTTATATAATGGTTCATTTTTGTTAATATGCAAAACATTTGTCTTGTCCGTGACCAGAAAGACGTAATAACCCACATAGACCCTTTATTTCTTGAGGCGATATTTGTTACTGGGGTTTCTGTTGAGGAGTTTCTTTCAAGTAACAGTATTAGAGACTCATAATGATGCTTGTAGAGCTCCCAACTACTTTCCGAGAGCCTGAATAGTGTCAAGACCTTTCTTAAGTGCTTAAATCGGGAACCTTCATCTTTACGCAACACGGCCGAAGGGGAAACTGCCAAACAAGCTTAGTTACTTTCATACTCTTAAAACATTTTCAACTGGTTTGTTTTGTTGTGGTAGCCAACACATTGTAAGTGTCATCACGCACGACGGATGTGACCAGAGGGAATATCATGACCTATAAAGTCACATAGCTCAAGATCACCAGCGGACCCTTTCCGGCAACCGATACTGTTGCCAACTTTAATGAACGCTTGCTTGCCGCAATAGGGTCGTCAGCGTTTCTGAAAAGCTCGTACAATCTCTTCCGTCGTGCCACGGGGAACGTTAACGAGTATGGGCCGAAAGTTACGAATGCCTGCTTGCGTACGACATTACGATGTTAGTAACGTGTATGAATTTGTATAGAGTTTCTTTCTAGCCACTGACTTTTTAATAATGGCAAAGAAACGATAAATACCAAATTTACCTTCAAAATGTGCAAAATCAAGCGGCGAGGATCGTCACCAGATCTCCCTCAAGAATGCACATCTGCGCCAAGAGATCAGGAGGTACCAAACCAAGGGCACCGAGAACAATGGGGAGCCTGACGACAGTGTACTTGGGATGCAAGCGAGACATTTCAAAGGCGAGGTCCGCATATTTATCATGCTATTCCTGAATCTTGCCAATCACATTGGTGTCAAAAGGGACAGAAAATTCAATGATATAAATAAATTCATTGGCTTTATCAAAAAGGACAAGATCGGGTTTGTTGGCAGGAATTCTTCTGAGGCTGTATATGGGCCTATTCCACAGAAGTTTGAAAGCATCATTTTCCATGACGCCCTGGACATGTTCAGGGTCGTACCATGGATGGACCTCGGAGTCAAAGCCACAGACATGGCGGAGACGGTAGTAAAAGCAACGAGCCATGCCATCATGTCGTTTAAGATATGCTGTTTGTGCCAAAGAAGGGCATCCACTGACAAAATGTTGGACAGTCTCTGTAAATTCATTACATAGTCGACATTTCATATTGATATTTTCTTTAAGAATCACATTTAGGCGATTACGAGTGAGAAGTGACTGGTCCTGAGCAGCAACAAGGGAGACCTCAGTTTCACATTTAAGACCAGCCGACTTCATCCAGTCGAAGGAGTCGGTGGGATTGCTATTCTGTTCCACACACTGCATGTACACACGATGCAATGGCTTCTCAGAAAGCTTCTCCACAAATGGCCGACTCTGGGCAGACTTGGTGAAGGACTTCACCTGGTTTACTCCCATCGCTGTACAGTCCAGCAGCACATCGCCATCAGCAAAATCCTCCTCAAATTTCAGATTCTGTCCAACAACCTTGGCATGCTTAAAATAGTTGTTGAATTCCTTGCCTTCATCATGAGTCTTCACATGCATCACCTTGTTTCGAGCATTTAACTGTGAGCTCCAGATTTTCTTTAAGCGAGATCGGCCCGAAGTTTGTCTTGAATTTGGGCGTTCTGGAGCTTGTCTCGAACTTGCATTCCAAGATAGGTGTAGGCCTGATCTTCCACAAGACGCTCAATAACTCCTCCCCCTTGTAACCTGACCGATCCATCATCAGTTACCTTGCCACGTTTCAAATTAAGAGTATTACATTTATCGAGTCCAAATGTCATGCCAATATCATTAGAAAAAGACTCGACAAGGAGAAGCTGCTTTTTCAAATTAGTATCTCCTTTGGCAAGGAGCTCAATGTCATCCATGAAAAGGAGATGAGTAAGTGGTGTTGGGGATCTGTACTGAGGAGCTCCGGGATGGTAACCCTCCTCCCTATTGAGCAGAAAGCTCAAAGGATTTAGAGACAAACAAAAAAGGAAAGGACTAAAGGAGTCCCCCTGGAAAATTCCCCTTCTGATTGGAATAGATTCCGAAGTCTGCACCTGCCCTTGCGAGGACATCTCAAGTTGAGTCGACCAGCAACTCATTAAAGTCTTGAGTAAATCAAGTAGTCGCTACGGGAGGTCAATACAATGAAGAGACTTCAGAACCAATTCATGAGGGACAGACTCGTATGCTTTCTTGTAGTCAATCCAGCACATGGAGAAGTTGCGGTGATATGTTTTAGCCTCTTCCAAAATCATTTTCTGTACAAGAAGCTGATCCTTGCACCCCCAACATCCCTTTCTTGCTCCCTTCTGATCTCTGTAAATTATATAATTGGAAGAGCAGTAAGATGACACGAGGTTTGTCAAACACCCTGTGAAGATTTGTATTGTATATTCAAACATGTGACAGGGCGGAAGTTTATTTTTATAGTAGCCTATTTTTGTAAGTATATGTAGTATGTAAAACAGAACATGCGCACGCTTACTGGTCACAAAATGGTTGCAATATTGCCAGTGTAACCAACTCAACTCAACGAAACCTCCAGAGAGAGTGAGTGAGTTTAGTTTTACACCGTACTCAGCAATATTCTGTAAATAATGGAGTCTGCACCAGGCAATCCAGTGGTCAACATCAAGAGCATCGATCTGGGAAATTGGGATACGATGACATGTGTCAACCACGTCAGCGAGCCTGACCACCCGATCCCGTTAGTCGCATGTTACGACAACCATGGGTTACTGAAAATCAATTCTAATCCGGATCATCACGGGTCGAAACCTCCAGACCATTTTAGCGCTGATATAGTTTGAAACTTTACTCACTCGCCTGCTGCCAAGATTTCCTTGGACACTGGACGGATTCGACATCGATGGAAGTTATTTCTGTGTTTAAATGACGTTGATCAGAATTTATTCTACAGATCAGTTCTTAACGCGTGATTCAAACGTCGATGCAACGATTTCATGCCTGTAACTCGGGCATCGCATAGTTACTTATTTTTCTATATTGGTTAGAGATGAGAATACGCATCCATCCGCTGAGCCAGGCACTGTATGATTTGTCATTGTGTGGCGTATTCGTCACAGTGAATTATTAATATTATTATTGTTAGTGGTGTGATGATGACGACGACGATGATGGTGATGATGATGATGAAGAAGAAGAACATCATCACAGCATGCAAAGTTTAATGTGGAAAAGTAGCTGATGGAGAGACCTGGCGATACGATCGTACACATTTACCAACCATATGAAATCCTGAGATTCAACGAAGGCAGTCCCTAACAAGTCAAAGAACAAACGATCCCGGTATTCGAACCTGCCAATGGCCGGAAATAGCCTAATAATGTTACAAAATATACTGCTTACAATCAATAATGTCACCTGACACGGTCGCCAATAATCCAACATAACAAACAGGTATTACTTTCAGCTTTCAACCGTGAAGCTAAACAATCTGCGACTGCAGTGAGTGATTAAGCATTGGATAGCATTGGCAAAGGAATGGTGATCTTGGCAACCCGAGAGGAAGCAGTTCCATATAGAAGCTTATGTGTGGGGACATGTCAGTTTCATGAAACATTCATACATGTCGTGTACAACAGAGGCTCCTGTATCGATCAGGAAATGTTATATTGAACTGTTTACTCAAGGAAGCAGATCGTACATTTCTGTGTGTGCGAGGTCGTTCAAGGGCCTTTGAAGTTAAGTTTCTACAGTTTGAGTAGGTTCCAACTCGAAACCCTGAGTTGGCATTAACATATGATTCTAAAAGGGCATCATTGCATGTATCAGTTTTATACCAGTGGGATAATAAAACATTTTTGTAGTTGGAATGTGGCACGTTTAGTTCAATAATTCAACATGAAACTGACATATTCTCACGCACTGTTTAAGCAGTTCTATTTCTAAAGCCTTGTAGGTTGGATTCACAAGCAGTATCGAGTTCAACGAATCACTAAAGTGATTTCTTTTTCTTTCATGTTTTCGCACAGGCATCAAAATCTAACCATGTCAGCAATATTACAAGTATTCCACAAACGTGTGTTACTCCACTTTGTAAACGACCCTGGAGCAAAAAACCCAGTGGTTGATAGAGTGAATACCCATGTATGGTTTTTGCATTATTTATTTCCATACGAACCCGCATATAACTAGTCCAAGGCGATCTGGCTGTTCGATTTGGGTTGAAGAGTGGATTTGAATACTTTTTTGTTCTTTATAGCTGAATTCGACACATCCGAACTTGAGATTTAAGTATCATAGACTTATATGCAGATAATGCTACACGGTTCTCAACTTATTTACTCCCTAAAACTAAGCACAATGACTACTGTAAATTCCCACAAATGGACAAATATAACTCACCTTCTTCTTGGGATCCGTAGTGTCCTCGCATTCTCCCGGGGGTACGTCTTTTAGCCATACGACGTGGACAATGCGACCATAGGTGAAGATCAGCACGCCGAGGGGGACAAAATACTGGAGCACCATGATGACCACACTGTAGGCAAACTTTTGATTGGGCACTGGCCAAACTTCCAGGCACAATGTCACGTTGTCGATATCGTCCTTCACCGTCATTGACGTTATAGCAGTAGGAAGCGGCGTCAGCAACGATAATGCCCAGCAAACGGCAATCACCCACAACGACTTTCTTTTAGGCAGTCTGGGTTTGAAGGGAAACATGATGGCGATGTAACGTTCTAAGCTAATGGCTAGAAGGATATACGCATTGAGGAACACCACAACCACTTGGAGGTATGTAACAAGGGGACACAAGGCTATTCCAAACGGCCAATAGTCGAGAAGGATGTTAGCAACAAATGTGAACGGGACACATAGGGTTGCCATGAGGATGTCACTTACAGCGAGACTTGCGATGAAAAAGTTAGTCACAGTTCGCATACGACGTGTCGTAACGACGATGTAGCACACCATGCCGTTACCGATGACGGAAACAATTGACACGGCTGAATATAACAACACCAAAAATACTTGAACCCCCGGACTCAGCGACTCCGGTAGATGAGTGTCGTTGGCGAAACCGCTAGTGCTCACCTCCATTTTGACGTTCCGACGTCGATGTCGACGTTACGTCTTGTAAACAGACTCTAATCTCCAAGTATCAAAGTCTTCGCTTTAGCTCATCTTCACTCTTTAAGAGCCTCCACATGACAAGCCTGTAAGTGCCTCCAGGCCAGACACGCGCAGACTGAACTCCCAAAGAGTCGCGCTCTTATCTGCGATTTGTCGCAGCGCCGGTTGCGCGTGACGAAGCTAATTCCTTCTGCTTGTGTGACAAGCGTTGATTAGAGACGATATATACACGACAACGGCCGATGACGTTGCCACCAATCCTGTCACTCAACGTCACAAACCCCTCCGTGCAGAGTCGCTTCTTCTGTTGGATCTAAATTCAATTTACCGACACAACATTCCAATCCACAACGCTAAAATACGACCAGAGTTTGTCGACTGTACTTTATGTCAACACTTCTTCATAATGCCCAGACCATCCCGAACGTTGAATCAACTTTATATGAAAATTAGCGCTGTAAACTCCTGTCTGCCTTGCACTGCATCCCACCTGTCCGTCAATACAAGCTGGGACGAGAATGCCACGCTACATCACCGTTAAACCTGCGCGTTAAGGATAGAGCTTCGTTGATAGGAGGGGCTCTTCGAGTAAGCGCCTTCTGCCTTCCATCCCACAATCAAATCTACTGACAGGGCAACAGTTCGGTCGTACTTCGTTTCAGATTGAAATTAAACCACATAACTAGTTTACTTTTGAAGATTAACGTATACAAAAAAACAGATTAATCCAATCTGATCTTCCTAGCATACTGAGACGTGTGGTCGAAAAAACACTCCAACGCAAGTTAAGATTAGGTTCTGGTGCCAATTATGCTCTCTCACATGGGACCCTTGGTGGAATTATCCATTTAAGGATTCCATCTGCTGAGTTTGGCATCACCAACCAATTGGTCCGTCAATTGCATCTTACCGTACTGGTAGGATGGGGCGATCGATTGTCATATCAGTACAACTGTTTATCTGTGCACACGAAGAAACGTCGCCTATTCGCTGTGGCATATATGGGCTCTGTTTACCGTAGAGACGCTATTGTTCATTTAGTTTCTCCTTAGCAGGGCATTTGAATCAGTATTCAAATAGTATTTCACAATATGGCACAATAGTATTTCATCTTCGTCCTGTTCATGTCATAACAATTCGATTAAGTCAGCTATAAAACCAGAGAAATATGTAACATAATTAGAAAATAAGCATTTTATAAGAGCCATGTGTAAATTTAGACTTTCCCTCTACAAGTTTAATGTCAATGTATAAACAAGACTATATTGATCTAATTAAATGTGCAAACTGTAGATTGGGCTTTATTGAAGATGAATTTCATGTAGTATTAGTTTGTGATAAATATAAAGATCTGAGTGAGAAATATCTTCCACATATTAAACATGTCCATACAAACAATAAGTTAATGGTAAATTTATTTAACTCTCAAAATCCTCTTATAACATGCAGTTGCAGCATTGTTAAAACATATATTTATTGCTAGATAATTACTTCAATTTGTGCTCACGTGACATTATAAAGTCATTATATACTACTCAAAAGATGTTAAGGGTCAAACGAAATGTGTACATCAAAATAAGAATAGGCAATTTTGAGACAAATAAGGACAGGAAACTTTCTGTCTGGGTGGTATTTGGACTGAAGACATCATAACTTTATAAGAAATGTTATCATTACCTGTTCCATTAGGTAACTGTTAAATCTAACCGTAAATTCGGACTTCTTGATTTGAACCATGAACTCGGCCACACTAAACTGATAAACTGACCCTCATAAGCGAAACAACCATTATGCCACCTACACGTGCTGTCCATTGATGTCATTCTATGCATGCACATTTTCACAATAAAAAGACCAAGCATTTTCAGATCGGCTTCATTTGAAATTTGAAGATGATCAGACGACAGCTCAGCATCCACGACAGAGGAAGGGCAATAGGTTGGCTTCAAGATGGTCAAACCCAAAGAAGTTTTGCTAGGCGACTAAATGTAAGCCAGAGTGTTATCTGGAGACTATGGCAGGGGTTCAGGACAACAAATGCTGTCCAGGATCGACCCCCCGTTCCGGAAGACCTCGATCAACAACAGCCCGCAATGATCGCTACTTGATGATGATGGCTTTGCGACAGCGATTTGTGACCGCAAGACATCTTCGGGATCAGCTGAGAGCTGGCTGTGGCACCAACGAATCCGATCAGACAGTTCAAAATCGTCTACGTGTCCGAGGTTTGCGTCCTCGACGTTCTCCAGTCCGACCACCACTACTTGAGCGGCACAAAAGAGCTGGCCGAGATTGGTGCCGATGGCATGTTCGTTGGAACCGTGATCAGTGGGCACAGACAATCTTTTCTGATGAATCCCGCTTCAAACTCAGGTTTAATGATGGTCGTGCCCGAGTTTATCGTCGCCAACGAGAGAGGCATGCTGACGTCAACGTTGCTCAACGTTTACCTGTCGGAGGCGGAAGTGTGATGGTCTTGGCGGGTATCTCAGTGCACCACAGAACTGCTCTGTACATCGTCAATGGGAATTTGACTGGTCTTCGATATCTCAACGAGATTATCCAACCTCTGGTAATGCCATTTCCGGCCTGGTTCCGGGATGATAACACTAGACCCCATCGTGCCAGGGTGGTGACAGACTTTCTGCAGCAGCAGAACGTTCAGCACATGGTGTGGCCTGCTTATTCACCCGACTTGTCACCAATTGAGCATGCCTGGGATGAGCTAGGACGAAGAATTCAAGCTTATCACGTCCCTGCCATCAACCCCCGAGAACTGGGTCAACGACTAGTTGCAGAATGGACAGCAACCCCCCAACAGTATTTTAGGCGTTTAATTAACAGCATGTGTCAACAGGGTCAGGAATTCATCCATGCTAACGGTGGCTACACGAGTTACTAAAGATTTCTGGCTTTGTGTGAACTCTGATTTTGGGGTACTTGACTTCGATGAATTGTGGAATAAAGTTGCGCCTTAACAATGAACTTTTTGTTTTGTGTTTTCTTTTCCTAAGAGCTTGAGGTTTTGTTTTGTCATTGGTTGTCACAATTGGTTATTTCCATATCTTCTAATTATATTCCAAAATACTTGTGACCCTTAACTTCTTTTGAGGAGTATATATTAACTGTAAAATGGATTTCAGAAGGTGTTGTTTGTTTGTTGTTTCACGCCGCACTCAGCAATATTCCAGCTGCATGGCGGCATTAATCTACGCAAATGGGATACGATGACATGTGTCAACCAAGTCAGCGGCACTGACAACGCGACCCAGTTAGTCGCCTCTTATGACAAGCATGGGTTGTTGAAGACACGATCATAACGCGTCTCAGAAGGTGTATTTGAGAAGATGTGTTACAAGTGTGAGTATGAAGAAATTGAGTGTATGCTGATGAATAATATAAAAATAACGCCAGGTACAGAGTGTGGGTATGGTAAATCATGTCAAACCATTACTAAAACTTTGAATCGGTACACCCTGCTACATCATAATCAGCCTGCTGTCAGTTTTATAGGATTACGTTTTTAGGGGGCGCGATGGGCGAGCTGGCTAAGGCGTCAGGCTAGTGTTGCAGCGGGCATGAGGTTCCGGGATCGAGCCTACCTGTGACCGGGTGTAAAAACCTTGGAGTCAACTTTGTGTGCAGACTCTTTCAGTGTTGTCACGACCCCTAGTGTACAGTACACAACCCTGTGCACTTAAAAGAACCCACGAATCCGTTGGTATATGACCAGTGAGGGAGTTTAGTTTTACGCCGCACTCAGCAATATTCCAGCTATATGGCGGCGGTCTGTAAATAATCGAGTCTGTACCAGACAATCCAGTGATCAACAGCATGAGCATCGATCTGCGCAATTGGGAACCGATGACATGTGTCAACCAAGTCAGCGAGCCTGACCACCCGATCCCGTTAGTCGCCTCTTACGACAAGCATAGTCGTCTTTTGTGGCAAGCATGGGTTGCTGAAGACCTATTCTACCCCGGATCTTTAGGGGTCGGTATATGACCAGATGGTGGCCACATGAATACATGCAAACACCTACTTTTTTGTAGTTGCGGGTACAGCAACGTGCAATAAACTTGGATAAAGTACTGTGACTATGTGTCCCAGTCCACCCAGCTGTGAATGGGTACCTTGTAAGGATGACAATAACTCGGTGCGCCTTGTGGCAGCAAGAGTTGTATGATCCCCAGGGAGTTGAGATTGATAATAAGATGTGCCGTTGAGATTGACATCCAATGATCGGGGGAAAATACCAGGGCCTTAGTGCGTGGATATGTGCGCTATATAAATATCCAATAATAATAACAAATGATAATAACAATCAATGAGATGGTATATCACATGGACACGACGAACGGAACGTTGTGTGTGTTTTTTTCAAAATCTCTATCTCTACCATGAGTCAAAACGAATTCCAATTGACAAAATCAAGAAACATGAAACATGTTTAACTATGCACTGATGATATCAAGTGAAACATGTGTCCCGTCGTACCAATATTCAACTGTGTGAGAGAGTCTCAGTAGGCCAATGATGGTAGCATTCTGACACGCAGAAAGGACTGATATCACCCTATGTACATCTAGACCATCCGTTGCAGTGGTGAGATTTGCCACCAATTTGCACAGTGTGATGATGCTTACATGAATCCTGAGCCGTTATGTAGATGGAATATTGAAAGTGCGGCGTTAAAAAACAAACAACTATGATCATGAACCACTGACATGAAGTGAAGTTTTTAATAAGCATCTATTCATCCTTGCTACCAGTGTTTTAGTTTTTTGGGGTAAAAAATCCATTCATCATCTGAAGCACCAGTTCTCAGCATAAAGCTGTGTCCTAATTGTTTCATGTCCTATTCGGAAGTAAGCTTAAACCTGTCAGAAGGCAGGATGAAAAATTCAATAAGTAACGTCTGAAGATATTGACTTCTGAACTGGGCTGACAGGCTGGAGCTGCGGGAATATAAGATGCCAGAGCAACTCGGACGGGTCTTCTCCTAGTTTCTACACGTGTCGGCTTTGAAAGAGTTTACTGTCAACATGCTGGAGCCGAGACAGGGAGTGATGCGATCACACGATATTTTTCGAGACAACGAAAAACGAACGATAACAGTCACAAAAATTTAGGATACATGTTTTGAAATTGTTTTATGCCACTGTGTGATGGCAGCTGGTGAGACGCTTTTGCTTGGGGATGTTGTAGTTTTTTGCTTGTTTTCGACAATGCGACAGGGCAACTCCTTTCTGGATGGAAAGTCACTCACGGAGAATATGGCGTAGATATTTCTGCTGTTCTCTCTTCCTAAAACATGGGACAGGACACAACGTTACAGCGTTCGCTCGTCTCCCTAAATGTCAGGTTTGATTTCCTATATGGATACAGATGTGTGAAGGGTGTTGTTCCCACTTGATATTGCTGAAAACCATATCCGCTGATTCAGCCATTTTTCTTGGAATGAATACGTTAACTTGATAAATATTGTATCAAAGAACGCAAGCAATAAATATTTAAAAACGCCCCCAAAAAAAAAGAAAGTAAGAAAGAAAAATGAAAAAAAAAGAAACCATAAATATAAACACAACAAAACAAACTATACAAAAGAAAAACCAAAACAGAATACGAACAGAACAATACAATATACACTGTTTTTTTAACAAACACAA